GAGTGAAGACAGGAACTTCTCCACCCTGGAGAATAAGACACAGGTGCTGATCTTGACCTGCTTAGATTTGGAAAAGGACCTGAGCATGGCAGTACAAGCAGAGGGTGCTGTGTGATGAGAGGGGCAGGAGATGAGCCACAAGTGACTCTGGACGCCAGGCCAGGGGGAGCTGTGTGCTCCTGTGAGAGCCCTGAGAGCCCATGTAGTGGATGTTCCTGGGCACACTCACCTGGTACTCCTTTGACAGCACCAAGATGCCCAGTTCAAAGGGTTGGCCATTCTCAAAGGAAATAACAGAGGTCCTCACTTCTTCATCCCAGTTCTCACCCTGACGGCTGTTCATCGCCACATATCTGTCACATAACACTCGGAAATGGAAGGCAATGTGTGTGTTGATTTCAGTTTTAGTGTGGAAATCCACCTGCAGTTCTGGGTTCATGCTGAAGGCAAAGCACGCAGCATGTTGAGTAGGACACTAACTCACGGGGGACCACATTCAACACACACATCCACACCCTCCCCAACTCCTCCTGGGGGAAGGAAGGCCTTCCTGGGTGAGACTGTAGTATGTGTTCCTGTGGGGCTGCTTCAAATTGTCGGGCCCAGGCTGGGGAGATGCCTCGTCTCTTAGGTCAGGACTCACACTGAGCAGCAGTCACTGGCCTGGGGCTACTTTTCTTGCCCTGGAAATACTGTGTCCTATTGATAACAAACCTCAGCTCCAATGGCTGAGTGACCCAAGCCACCAGACTTCAACACTTGCCCACAGTCATGCACCTGTAGTTTTAATGCCTGGCACCATATGGGTCTCCAGAACCTGCATCTGCATTGTGCTACCATTATGCTAATTACAAACTTCAACCTCAGTCATGCGTGAAGTGACCCCCAAAGCTCTAATAATCTCACTTCTCCTCCCCATGGGCTACAGATACTCACTTGAAAGGCATGACAAACGTCCCTTTGATTTTCACGAAAGAACCAACAGGCAAGGATACACATTTTGTATATGGGACCTGCCATGGGAGACAAGAGCAGTTGAGAGGGGTGAGGTCGGGTGTGGTCTCCCATCCTGTAACAGTTCCCAGTGGCAAAGCAGGTTATACCTCAAAAGACATACTCTCAGGACCCACTTCTTCCCACCTCACCACAGGCAGGTCTCTGTGTCTTTGAAGAAATGATACGGTTGAAGTTCACAGCAAGAGTTATAAAGCCAGGTGGCCTGGATTCTAATGCTGATTCTGCCTCTTACGACCAATGAGAACTGAGTTCCATTACTTGAATGCTCCCTGCCTCTGTTTTCTCAGTACAAGAAGGATTATAAAATTCCTATTTCCTAGGATGTTCTCAGGAATAGCTGAGCTAATAGATGTAAAACCTTCAGCATGGTCACTCGCAGGTATAGGGTCTATACAGGGGTGACTTAGCAGAAGGGGAGGGCCCTTTCTCAGATATTACCCTCCCACCAGTTTTTATCTGAAACTGTGAAGATAAGGCTTTAGAATGTAAAAGTATAAAATTTAAAAACCCACTCCAATATAAGATAGCTGTTTAAAGGGCGAGGGAAATAATGGAAAAGGAGAGTCCTGTGTGAGGCATGTATATGCATCAGAATTTACAAGGGCAATGGTGTCCTTTCAGGAATGTGTACAAGTTGCTGAGGACAGTCAGTACCTGCACACAGGGTGGGAGACAGGAGAGTAATTAGACAGAATCTACAGGTTGTTCCTGGTATCAACTGTAAGCTTTGTCTGGACTGAGGCTGGTTTTGTTCCTTCCATCTTCAGGTGATCCATTCTCTGAAACCAATTCTCCCAACCACCTTCCCCAGGGAGCCAGGATCTGCTTAACCTTTTTGTTGTTGTTGTTGTTGTTAGGACAAAGGAAGGACTGGCTGGGGTAGGAGACCTGAGGCAGGAGCAGGGGATCACTTTTTGCTGATTCAGACAGGAGATCCAGTGCCCCACAGTTGGAGTTCACCTCCCCCCAGCCTTCTTGAGAAGAGGCACCCGAGGACTGACTCATTCTGCTCTCATTAATGCTCAGGGAGGAGTCCTGGGAAACCCACTTTCCCCAAGACCTCCAGTTCTGCCCACCAGGAGCCACAATGATACACAGGAACAGAACCACAGCTGCTTAAACAGTCACTACTGTATATGGGAGAACCATCAGAAGCAGACATAACTACACACATGTTCATAGTTCAACATGCAATCATAGATCATCATACACACACAGATACACAAAGACATGGGACTCCCCGTCTCACACATACCTCCCAACACTAGTACTCAAGATAACATGCATCGCTGTTCAACCACTGCCCCAGCTGCACTCACACACTCATACTCAGAGGCTTGAGCACAAATGTGCAATCTCACCCCTTGCACCCATGCTCACACTCCCTCATCCCAGTCAGCTGTTCACTTCCCACACAAATTCACAGTGTCTCAATAGAGTTCACCCTCAGTCAGATACCACCGAATGCTGACAGTAGATACACTGCCCCATCCTCTCTCTTCCACACATTACAACCCCCAGTAAAACATTCCCAATATTTTTATCTCAGAAAATCTCAGACTCTTTCCTCCTTCCCTTATGGGACTTGGGATCATTGAAGGCTGTGCCTGTTCAACTCACCGGTAGCGTTTCCATTGTTGTGCCTTCTGCTGGGAAGCTCTTCCAAATCGTGTCTGGTTGTGTGTGTGATCTCTGCAAGTGGCAGGTTATAAATGATTCTGGAAGCCCCGCCCTCTGGCTTCCTTTCAGTTTCTAAGTCTCTTCTAGAAAGATTCCCAGCAGGTGAGAAGGTGTGGGGTATCATAAATAGAATCAATCACAACTTGTCCTTGAGAAGGACGTGTTGTGATACAGTAGAAACGTCAGTGAGGAAATTGTGGGTGAGGAAAGATTAGCAGGAAAAAATCATGAATAAGGGTGATGGAATGATGGGTGAGTGGGTCTATAATCCAGCCTATGTGCCTCTCACGAAGTATTTATCCCTCAGAGTAGAACCCACCCAAAAGTACCCATTTTTCTGACTTGATCAACGGTAAAGATTTGGTGGTCCCGGAGGTAAGGACTCCCTTCCAGAGGTCCTGGGAGATCATAGAAATAGATCCTCAGCAGCCCTGGAGATAGAGATAAAGTCTTGTCTCAATTCTTTTCCACAGTAGGTCCCTTGGCTCTGTTAATGCCAACAGTGTTTTAGCCTTTTTGTTTCACGCTCTTGGTGAACTTCCATCATACATCAATCAAGATTGGAAATTCAAGATGAAAAATTCTTTGTAATAATAACACTTGAATAAGTATGATTTAATCATGATGACCTATTCAGAAAATATAGGACACCCAATTAATGACATGTTTTAGAGTCATTTAAAAAAGTTAAATAAAACAATAAAAACTAGTTAAATCAGAATGTTTTTCAACATTAAGATTTCCAAGTGGAACATAATGAACAAAGTAAACTGATGAACAAAATAGAAGCAGAGGCATGGATACGTGGAACAGACTAACACTTGCCAGAACGAGTAGATGAAAGAAGGTGAAGGGATTAGCCAAAGAACATAGATGCATAACCTTAGACACAGACAGCAGTGTGGTGATGGCGAGAGGAATGGGGGGCCAGGGGTTGGGCAACTGGAACATTCCCCCAGAGCAGAGGTCCTCAAACTTTTTAAACAGGGGGCCAGTTCACTGTCCCTCAGACCATTGGAGGGCCAGACTATAGTTTAAAACAAAACTACAAAATAAACTGATGAACAAAATAGAAGCAGAGGCATGGATACGTGGAACAGACTAACACTTGCCAGAACGAGTAGATGAAAGAAGGTGAAGGGATTAGCCAAAGAACATAGATGCATAACCTTAGACCCAGACAGCAGTGTGGTGATGGCGAGAGGAATGGGGGGCCAGGGGTTGGGCAACTGGAACATTCCCCCAGAGCAGAGGTCCTCAAACTTTTTAAACAGGGGGCCAGTTCACTGTCCCTCAGACCATTGGAGGGCCAGACTATAGTTTAAAAAAAAACAATGAACAAATTCCTATGCACACTGCATATATCTTATTTTGAAGTAAAAACACAAAATGGGAACAAATACAATATTTGTATTTGCATGTGGCCCGCGGGCCGTAGTTTGAGGACTCCTGCCCCAGAGTGTGTATGACCTAAACTCTGAGGGACCCCCGTGAACCAGTCTCCAGCCCCACCTTTCTCTGATTTTCCAGTGAGCAAAAGGCAGCCTGACCTTCGCCCTTGTCTTACTGATAACGTTTCTAGTGAACCCAAGCAGCCCCACCTTGGTCCACTTCTTCCTGATAACGTTTGTAGTGAACCCATGCATCCCCACCTGGTCCATGTCTTCCTGATAATGTTTCCAGTGACCCCAAACAGCCCCGAGGTCCCCGTCGTTTTCCTGATTACGTTTCTAGTGACTCCAAGCAGCCCCACCTAGGTCCACATCTTCCTGAGAACATTTCTAGTGACCCCAAGCATCCCTGCCTACGTCCACGTTTTTCTGATTACGTTTCTAGTGACTCCAAGCAGCCCCACCTAGGTCCACATCTTCCTGAGAACATTTCTAGTGACCCCAAGCAGCCGGCCTTGGCTCTCCTGTTGCTTCATCTATCCAAATCCCTTCCCTTATTTCACTATCCAAAACTTTAATAAACAGTCTCACAATCACCTTGTGTTGTGAAATCGTTCCTGCATGCAGTCAACAACCCATACATTACTGGTGGGCCATAGGTTTATCCACTCCAGGCCTAATCCTCGTCCTGTGAAAAAAGTGTCCACTCAGGACTGAAAAGCCTGTGGAAGCAAGTTCTCCCCTGGAGGTTGGATTGTTTTCAGATCCAGCACAGCCACAGGAACTGGCTGATAGTACTTGTTCAACTTGCTATTTTCCAGCATGTTTCTTGGGCCGTGATGTGGTAGGACCCATGTTTCTGAGCCCTTTTTCTGCCCACACCTGCAATCACCCACGTGTGATCACACAAATGCTTCCTCTGAAGCCTAATCTCTCTCCTGGAAAATGAAGTCCAGGTACATAAATTCAGGATCATATGACGATTTTAATCAGATTTGGTCCAAATGACCAAAAAACAGCACATGGGAATGAACATGAGAATTTTATATTTTCATTTATGTAGTCAGACGGTTTCATTAACAATGTTGAAAAATCAGTCTCCAAATACTAAAAACCTTAAGACTTAAATCTGGAAATCAGAAGGAAAACTTTTCATTACTTGCCCAAGTCCCCTTCCACCCTGGGATGGGGGCAGGGTCAGGTAGTGGACTGAGGCTTAGGAGTCTAGAGGGGCAAGAGAAGCACCGTTTTTGGAGTAAAACCATTCACCACATGGCCCAGGGCTGAGGGAATAACCTATCAACGTGCAGCTGTGGTTTGTAACTGGGTCTGGATTTGGGTTGCATGTGAAGAGGAATTTGAAACACTTGTATCAGGAATTACCAACTGATGCACATTTCACATCCCATCACTCAGGCCTGCACAAAGACTCCTGCCTGCTTACATTCAGTGTGCTCAAGGCAGCCTGGAGCAGGAACTTCAGACAACCACGTGTGGGTCCTGAATTGTAAGAGTTGATTGGATACTTACTAAATTACTTAAGTTCATTGACATCATCGCAGATGCCCGACAGCTACCACTAAAGGACATTTAGAACTAGCATGCGCGCACGCTCACACACACACTCACACACACAAACACACATCATTTATGCAATGAACTATGGATCACGGCCTCTTCTGCAAGGTGTCAGTCCAAAAAGCACTTCCTTGGGGCACTCACTCACTCCTGAGATTATGTCAAGTCTCTTGTTACCAACTCCCTTCCGGTCTCTTTACATGCACTTTAAAAAAGAGTTCAATACTTATCCCTTTCATGTCTGTCCCCTGCCCTCGATTAAACTGTTTGCCTCTTTGGCAGCTATGCACTCTGCGATTAGCACAGGGTCCTGCCAGACAGATGCTCTCTGTTTATTGACATCAGCAGCAGCCTTATCCAGGAAGGAAGTGGAGGTGAACCGGATCCAATTTGAGAATGAAGGGTCTGGAAGACCAAATACCTAGGAGTCAATCTGGTACAAGTGTGCAAGCTCGTCACCATGGCACCTTCCATACATTGTTGAAATGTAACTCAGAACTGGGGACCGTTCAGGGGAGGAGCCAGACACGACCCACTCTCCCAGGTGCCCTCTTGGTTGAGAAACCTGCCGCTCCCGGGACTCTCTGCCCCCTCTTCTGACTACAGCAATGGAGGGAGCAGTGTGCGTGCGTTCGTGTGAGTGTGTGTGTGTGTGTGTGTGTATGTGTGTGTGTGTGTGTGTGTGTGTGTCCTCCAAAAAAAGGAGGAAGTCAACAAAGCAGACAGACAGGCAGACAGACGTGCCCTTCCCAAATGCTCTGTCCTCTCTCCTCTGTCCTCAAAATTGGCCTGCAGCCTCGGCTCAGACGAAGCGGTCCACACACTGCTGTCCTCTGAGAGGATGTGAGCCCAAAGACAGGCCTGGGTGGGCAGGGCCTGTAAGGAGCCGCGGTGGATCATGGGATATGAGGGGGCGGGGTTTCACACCTCCCTACCCTCAAGGTTATTCCTGCTTGTTTTGGGTGACTCCGCCCATTAGACTGTTGCTCTCTTGACTGGACAAGTCTATTTTAAAATGTTAAACACTGTAAGGCCAGAACATAGGTAGTTGGTTTCAGAAATGTACAGAGGCCCTGGCCGGTTTGTCTCAGTGGTTGAGTGTCCACCCATGAACAAAGAGGTCACCTGTTCAATTCTGTCACCTGCCCAGTACACAGGCTCCATCGCCAGTTGGGGTGGCCCACGATGCAGGTGATCAATGATTCTCTCTCACCTTTGATGTTTGTAGCTTTCTCTCCCTCTCACTGCCTCTCTCTGAAACCAATTAGACTGTTGCTCTCTTGACTGGACAAGTCTATTTTAAAATGTTAAACACTGTAAGGCCAGAACATAGGTAGTTGGTTTCAGAAATGTACAGAGGCCCTGGCCGGTTTGTCTCAGTGGTTGAGTGTCCACCCATGAACAAAGAGGTCACCGGTTCAATTCTGTCACATGCCCAGGATGCAATCACCATTGCCAGTTGGGGTTTTTCACGAGGCACCCAATCAATGATTCTCTTTCACCTATGATGTTTCTAGCTTTCTCTCCCTCTCACTGCCACTCTCTGAAACCAATTGAAATATTTTTTGTAATAAAAAAAGAAAGGATACATTCAACGATTAAAAATGAAACATTTTTACGTTAATTACCTAGGATTAAGACTAAGAAGAAAAATAAACAGATCCTTACACCAAATATTTGTGTTTCCCATCATGGATGCACAAAAGGAAAATCAAATGACAGCTGAAGAAAACCCTAGTCTACAGAGTCCATGACTGCTCACCGAGTTTCAATTCAGTAGGTGGCTTCACATTTCTACGGTTAAACACTTTTGCCAAATATTTTGGGAGAAAATTTGAAAACATATTTAAAACATTTTCATTGAAAAACCTTCTAGTTCAGGGGTGGGCAAACTTTTTGACTCGAGGGCCACAATGGGTTCTTAAACTGGACCGGAGGGCCGGAACAAAAGCATGGATGGAGTGTTTGTGTGAACTAATATAAATTCAAAGTAAACATCAT